GCATCTCCTAAGCATGAACTGTACGGGTAATGATAACTGTTTAGGGTTTATAGGGTTTAGGGGTTTTAGGGTTTAGGGTTTATAGGGTTTAGGGTTTATAGGGTTTGGGGTTTAGGGTTTAGGGGTTTTAGGGTTGAGGGTTTAGGAGCGGACCGAAGGATCATTCCTTATTTAGGAGCTTCGTAAGTTGGGGCTCCCCTGGTCCCGCCTTCTGCACTTCTGGTCCAGCTAACTAGGGTCCCTAAAAACTCGTCGGCCTTTTCTTTAGGAACCCGAATGAACCCCTATGGACTCTCATAACTAGCCATGAAGCCAAAAAAACTCGACAACTAAAGCTGCGCTCGGGCTTGAAGACGTGAACTTTGAGGATTTGGGGAGCGAATCGATTTGTTTGGCGTGGAATAGCGCGCGGAATGGCTCAGACACCTAAAGTAGAAAGACCAAACCGTCAGATTTATTGCACTTCGACCATTGTAAGTGTAATGATATGGAGCCACCCCAAGATAGCAAAATCAAGAACAAGCTCCACCTTTCGCCTCGCTCTTGTGGTTTCCTGACTCCTTGTGACAATGCTGCCTGTTGCCGAGATTGCTGAGTGTAGGGTTTGCTTGGTTCGCAATGTGGGTAAGGCCTGGAGTCTAGCTGAATTTGGGCTGACTTGCCCTGAACCCCGACGGTTTGCAAAGCCAATCTCACGATTCTGCTTCGCGCACTCGACTAACTGTGCCGAAGCATACCTCAGCCCTTCTTGGAGAGCTTTTAGGGTTTAGGGTTTAGGGCTACAGACAATGAACCTCTTAGCATCTGGACTACCTCATGGCCAGCGTCCTTGTGGGCGTTCGCAGTTGTCACATTCGCCTCCCACGACTGCTTTGCCAGGAAGTTGTTCGCAACACACGTCGGCGACATGATTCTTAAGACCTCGATGCTTAATACCCTAAGCCCTAAAGCCCTCCGGTTTCGAGACCTAGGTTTCACGATTTCGTCTTCGAACTCAGGATATTCCCCGGCTGGAATGAACAGTCTTCAAGCTTCTTGTGCCAAAGCTGCAAGGAAGGTGTGCCTGATTGGGGGTTGGGGGCTTGAAATTAACGCTCAGCGTCTAGGGTGCATGAATGTATAACGGTTTCTCTAACGGCTACAGATGGGCATAGCAAGACAACTGGCAGCGACTACAATATCTTAAATACCGTCCCGCCCCCCTCTTGCAGCAGGGAAAATGGGGCAGCACCCGCAAGGCAACCCAAATGACAGCTCGGGCGCACCCGGCTCGCGTTTGAAGGAGTCGTGGTGCTGTTGCTCAAGTTGGCCGCGGCAGTCGCCTGAGTCATTGCCAAAGTGCTGAGACAACGGTTAGGTAGAGATCTTGCCAGCCTCCCCCCAAATCTCGAGATGGTTAGATTACAGGCAGAGTCCCGTCACTCGACGAACCATGTTGCAGCAGCAGAAGCAGCTCAATTTAGAAACCCCCCACCCCTGTGCACACCCTCCCAGTTGATGAGTCTGTGCTTCCTTTGTCGTCGAGATGGTGATGGTGGCTGCTTCTGACGTTAGTAAACCCACGAACCCCGTAACCTACTCTGGGCCCTCTTCAAGCCTAGATTCCTCAACTCTTTGCGTGCACTTCGAAGCTACGTGGGTCATGTTTTTGAACAGATTAGGGTTATAGGAAGAAGTTCTGAAGCAAAGCGGGCAAAGTCGTTTGTCTGAGGGTGTTTTCGCAGCAGGACCTGCAACTGAGGCTCATGCATTTAGAGGCTCTGCGGAGGCAGAGGCTCGGGAGATCTGATGCTGAAATCGAAGGACCCGAAAGCTTCAAAGGCGAAATCTACCCAACAAAAAAATGCTGCATCCATATCATATAGTATAGTATAGTATAGTATAGTATAGTATAGTACAATATCATATCATATCATACAATACAATATAACTATATTATCCAGTTACTGCGCCCCCAATCCGCAAACTCCAAGTCGCATTTGGCCGCGGCAATGGTGCTGCCTCCGAGGCTGGCACTGGGGGTTGAAATATCGGAGCTCATGAAGTGATTTTCAAGGCGCGCGATCTGGCGTCTCTCGCAAGAACACACGAACCCATCATCTGCTCATACTGCACAAGTGTGAGAACCGCCCGCTGGGACTGCCAAAGCTCGTCAGAAATCTGCCGGCAAATCACACTGCCCATCGGCGCTCTTTCCAAAGCAGACGAGCGGACCATCTGCCCGCGCTGCACAGGTATGAGCAGTGCCCGCTGAGACTGCCAAAACTGGTCCCAAATCTGCCGGCACGTCACACTGCCAAATGCCGAGGTTGTGTCCAAAGCAGATGAGCTCACCATCTGCATGCACTGCACAGGTTTGAAAACCCCCGACTGAGCCCCGCAACAACTCGTCCCAAATCTGCTGGTACGTTGTCCTTGCTCGTTGTCTCACAAGCACACTAGCTGACCATCTGTCCGCACTGCACAGGTATGATAACCGCCCGCTGAGACTGCCCAAACTGGTCCAAATCTTCTGGCACAGCAGATTGATTGATGCGTGCAGGGCGTCCAGTGCCTCCAAAGCAAATGAGCTTACCGTCTGTTCGCACTGCACAGGTATGAACACCGCCGGCTGAGACTGCAACAACTTGTCCCAAATCTGCAGGTACCATAGCCCGCTGAGACTGCCAAAATTGGTCCCAAATCTGCTGCCACCGCAACACGCATCGCCGGAATGGGCACCACTGTCGGACACATGCTGCCAAGTTCGAGGAAGAAAAGGAGCAGCTGGAATTTGATCGAATTCTGGCAGCAGAGACGCAACGAGCTCTCGAGAGTGCACACCAAAATTTTGGCAACTTCGTGGCGTGCAGAAGACGTCGAAGACTTTGGGCAAAACTGCGAACCCGCAGGGTTACCAACCCTGCGAGTTCGCAGTTTTTGCCCAAAGTCTTCGACGTCTTCTGCACACTGCTTTGAGAAGCCTTATCAGCCTCTTTGCGAAGATCCACTCCGACAGTGAGACTACAGAGGAGCCCAGCTTTGAAAGCGGACACGTGCCAGCAGCTGGCCAAGTGGCAAATCACACTGCCTCTGTCGGCTGAACGCACTGCATCCTAACAGGCGATTCTTCCTCACTACAGGGTTGCTGTAACCGGCGCCGGAAATTTGAGGGCTTTCGGCACGCGGTGAGAGTGCGGAAGCCTATGTCCATCTATGCATGTTGTGGGACGAGCCCTGGAGTTGATGCCGTGGCCAAACGTTACTGACCCAGCACCTGCACACACCAGGAGTCAGGGCGGACTGTAAGAAACGCCTGCAATGCCATCCTGGGAATCCAGGAGAATATGGTAAGTGCCAGGCCAGCTTTCATGATCGTCACGAAATGCATGCGGACAGGTTCTACAGAGTGGCCAGCTCAAAGACTAAAGTCTAGACAAGCAGTTCTCTACTATGCCATTTGAGAGAAGACCGCTGAAACATCCCCACAAGCGTGATGCAATTACCATTTAGTGGATACAGATTACAACTTCATTTTGGTTACAGTCTCATACCTAATCCTTACTCCTATTATAGACATTTTTATTAGAGAAGACCATTTCCATTTTCGCGGGTTAAGGGTTGAGGGTGCTTTTCGGGAGTGCTTCAGGGTATGGAGTTGCAGTGGGAACTTGGGTTGGACTTGTGAAGTTTCGTGGATGGTTTTTTTCAGGATTGTTTTCTTGAGTTGGGGGCTTTGGGTTGGGGATTGAGGGTTACATGGATGATTTTCAAGATTGTGCAAAGATGGTTTTCTTGGGTTGGGGCTTGGTGTGTGGGGTTGAGGGTTACATGGATGATTGTTCAAGATGGTGTTCTTGGGTTGGGC